TAGCTTCATGAGATGGTCAGTAAGTTACAGCGGATGTCTACTGCAACCAATTGGATGAAATGATGAGTATGCTTGTACTTAAGCAGTGAAGATAAGTCAATAGAGACAGGCCAATCCTCTTGCAAGACAACGCTCAACCACATGTCACACAATAATGCTCCTCAAACTACAGAGGCTGGACTTGGAAACTCTCTGTCATCCACCATATCCACCAGACCTTGCATCAACTGACTACCACTTCTTCCAGGCTTTGTGCCACTTCTTGCAAGGGAAAATATTCAGTTCTACACAAGCTGTGGAAAACGCCTGTTGTGATTTCATTGCCACTCGCTCTCCAGGCTTCTTCGCTGCTGGCATAAACAAGCTACTGTTAAGATGGCAAAATTGTGTTGATAGTTTAGGTGCATACTTTGATTAATTGTACTTTTTTTTTGTTTGAGATATAATAAACTAAACTTTTGATTCAAAATCGGACATTTCTTATTTAATGACCCAATAATAGTGAGTCATGTGGTGTTTGTTTTTCCATTCTTGTGATACTTCACTTAGGAGAATGATCTCCAGTTCCATCCAGGTTGCTATAAAAAGTATGAATTCATGATTTTTTTCTTATGGCTGAGAAGTACTCCATGGTATACATATACCACATTTTATTAATCTACTCAGGATGTCTTTAATGTCATAGTATCAGTGACAGAATTGGGACTTGTAGGTTTTTTCTCTTTCACAGTATTGATCCCTGAAATATGTTTATCAAATAAATGAGTTAATGAAAGAACAATATATAGTGTTCTCTTAAACACTCATGTTTTTTATTGGATATTAAAGGAACATTTTAAAGAGAGACAAACTACATATGTGGCTTCCTGTTGTTGGGAACTGAGTGGGGGTGGGGGAGGGAATGAGGAAATAGACTGGACAGTTTTAAGATGAAATGTCTTTAAATATCTTAGAAGTAACTAGATATATTGTTTATTAAGAGTAATTAATGATAGAATGACAATGAATGTCTTAAACTAGTTCACAAGCTAGTATTTGTCATAAATGTGATTAATAAGAAACTTGTCTCGTGCTGGAAAATGTTTCTTGTGAGATCTATATTTTCATACACAATGCATCAAAACATTTGTTTCTATTTACCTTGAAAAAAATCCCCTTCAGAGATAGCATGTAGAGAGCAGCCATCTGTTCAGTATTACACTTTTGAATTGCTGTTTCTCTGAACTCTCCTGACTCTGTATATGTTAACTAAAAAATAAGGACCATTTTCCTCCTTTATCAAGTTCATTTATCAACTCTGTTTTGAGGATGCGTTTATATCCTAGTATACATTAATAACTGTTAATTGGCTATTGGATAACAAATTAAACCGGGAACTCTGGCATTTCTGAATTCAGTTGCTGACTGTTTTTATTCTGGCTTTGGAACAAGTAATTAAATGTGTCTTACCTTTCCCCCAAATAGCTTTGAATGGTCATGAAATTAGGGGCAACTCAGATGCTGTTTAGCTGATTGGGATCTGGTAGCACTGGGCTAAAGTACAGTGGAAGTAAAAGAAAAGTATGAAAAAATATTTCAAAGACTTTTTAAAAATTATTATAAACTTTTTAACTTTTATACTTTTTTTTTCACTAGATCAAGGTGGCATATTCCAATCAAAGATTTTATTACAGGAAAAAAATGTAAAAGATCTCAGTATTTTATATTGATTACATATTGAAATGATACTATTTGGGATAAATTAGGTTAAATAAAGTATCTTATATATAAAATAAAGAAAAGTATGTATGCAATTGTTTTAACACTAAATAACCAATACTCCAGTTTGACCCATAAGGCTCTGATATGACACAAATGGAAATAGACTCAGCTATCACCAGGTAACCATCACTTTTGAGTCAAACTATATTGCCTCAACACTGATACAGAATTTTAAATGGCTGTCTTCATGTGCATAATCTCATATGAACTTCATTTCAATCATGGAAGGCAATGGGGCAACTTTTACTACTCTACCAGTTTTATTTTACTGGTGGCAAAACTGAGGCTCAGATTGGCTAGGTGATTTGATCAAGGTCCCACAACTATTGGGTGATAGAGCTGGGACCTGAACTCATACATTCTGATACCTCCTTATATTACATTAATTCTCTGATTTAAGTGGGAAAAGACATTATAAGGGGTTAAAACGACATTTATAGTTGGTTGGAATGTTAACTTATTTGTCTTGCAAGATTTTGTCTTCAAATAAAATCCTTTTACTTAAGCAAAAACTATACCAAATAAAACCATCTTTACAGTACATAATATACATATAAGGAATGAAAGAGTAACAATCCTTGCTGGAAAAAAAATCTTGTATTTCATTACAGAGCAAATAGTAATGATTATGAACTGGTTAACAGATTTTTCCTGTTACCTTATTTGAGATGTTTCCCTATTGAACCTCCAAGGTCTCCCTCATCTAAAGAAAACAGGGTAATATCTGAATTTCAGAGAAAATTAGTTACTTCTCCTTAAACCTGTCCAATTACTCTGTTAGAAGATATAGTTATTAAAACATTAAAATGGAAGTATCAATATGTCTTTCCAAAGATGTGATTAGCATAGAGAACCTTCTGGATTCTATTCCATAGTTTGGTTTGTGTAACCTTGGACACTTTTTTTTTTTAACATTTCTTAACTCATCTAAAACATGTCTCATGGAATTTAATTTTGGGTTTAGAAATGCTTTGATATTTTTGGATTAAGTGGTGAGGTAGATGGAAATGCTACTCCTAAAGAAGCTTGAGGTAATGGAATAATTTTATTTTTCTTTTCAACTTTCTTCTCGGGAGGGTCAGGGAGCATTTTATTCTTAGATCATTTACTTATTCATCAAACATTTATTGAGTGCCATGTACCAGACCATGACCAGCACCTTCTTCTACTCTCTTGTACTGTGCCATGAAATGACGCTTGTAAGAACACAACAAAAGACCTGATTTTTATTATGGAATGTGACTGTACAGTGGCCATTTGCAAAGACTCTCATCCTGCTATTTAGTCAAAAGTAGAGTTTTCTGTCTCCCAGTATGTGATTAATACTTAATCGTATATTGCCTTATTACTATTAACTGTTTCAGCCGGGTACAGTGGCTCATGTCTGTAATCCCAGCGCTTTGGGAGGCCAAAGTAGGGGCATCACTTGAAGCCAGGAGTTCAAAACCAGCCAAGGCAACATAGTGAGAGCTCATCTCTACCAACAAAAATAAAAAATTAGCTGGGTATAGTGGTATATGCCTGTAGTCCCAGCTACTTGGGAGCCTGAGGCAGGAAGATTGAGCTCAAGAGTTCAAGGCTACATTGAGCTATGATTGCACCACTGCACTCCAGCCTGGGTGACAGAGTAAGACCCTATCTCTTAAAAACAAAACAAAACAAAACAACTGTTTCACAAGCATTTGCTATTAGAAAGTAAGCTCCCTACAGGAGAAAACCATGGCTATTTCTCCTCCATTTCTCTACTCATTACAAAACAGTAGTGAGAGATTCTTTATCACGAAGTCAATGGATGGAGGGACTTCAAAGAACTTGTGAGGCCTCTGAAATCGTAAGAAAAATTATTTTTGCATGTGCAATTTTTTTTGAAAAGGGTCCTTCATTTTCATTGAATTTTCAAAGGGGTCAGTGTCTCAATAGTTAGCCACCATAGCTTAGCCACTCTAATGGGTTTATGATAAATATTTGAATGGTAGAAACTACAGGAAGACCAATATGACCTTGATGTATGAGAAAGCATTGTCATGATTGGAAGGAGTGCTTGGGGAAGGCTCTCAGTTCCCCAACACAGGAGATATTAATAGCTGGATAACCCACCACTGATAATATTGTTGGGATGTTGATGTACACTTTCTGCTCTGTGATTCTATGATAATATCAATCTGCACTAGAAAATACTTCTAATTCTTCATCCATCCCCCCATATCCATTTTTGTGTGACTCACACTGAACTATTTATACACGTAAAGAATCTTTTTAACAGATAACCAGAGGCCTCAAAATTAGGTTTTGAGAACCACAGCCCTAAGGATATGTGTGAAACACTGAATAGCAAGTAGGGAACTAGGCATGAACTCTAGAGAATAAAGAGGAGGTAGAATGATTTTTGAGTTGAGGTTAGAAGAATCAGAAGATAATAGTTGACAGGTAGGTTGACACAGTTGCCAATAGATTAAACAGAATAGGATTTAATTATTAAATTGGGCTAGTTACCTTTAAATTTAGCCCTCTAAGCAATTTTAGTTTGTGCTGAAATTTTGCTACTTCAGTTCAGAGAAATTAGGACGATGCAACTCCAGAGATGAGTTTCAGAAGTGCAAAGTGGTAAAACCACATTCATTATAAGTATGTACATATGCAAATTTGTGCATGAATACATGTATGCAACATATTCATATCTGGATACTCATGAAGATATGGATCCAGTCACATGAATGTATTTATTCACATATGTACCAATTGTAAGAAGGATTAAATATTGTATTTAATAGAAACTTTTCACTTGCAGGGAAATACAGTATCTCAAAGCAGTTGAATATTCAATGAATGAAAAGAATATTTTAGATAATATACCAATGCTTCTTTCCAGGTTAATGTCACAAAGCCTCACAAGATATATAAGGAACTGAATACAGGGAGAACTCAAGCTGATAGTATCATACTAAGTGATAGTCTAACTAAGAGAAGTCCAAACGATATTCATTATAGTGTAAAGGAAATTGGCCATGTTCTATACTTCAGTTTTTCTTGGAAAAGTGTGTTTGTTAAATAGTCATCACCAACAGCTTCAGTTTGTTCGGTTGGGCCTGGAGCCCTTTAATTAAATGCTTCCTCAAAATGTTTCCTGTTGATCTTCTGAGCTGGCTGTTTTATTTACTCTTTAGCGTTCTGCAAAGTCTCACTTAGCATCCTTTAGCTTGTGCATTTTTGATGAGTGTGGCATTGCTATTTTTACACAGGTTTTGTAAACTCCTTTGAGGAATGCAGGAGTACATGAAGAGAAGGAGATGGTGGTGAGTTTCTGCCTTTATTTAATTCATCTATTCCCCAATCTCACAGAGACCAGTATAATGCTGTACCTATAAAAGCTAACTAATTTGTCAAGTGTTTTTGCTCCGAAGGGACACCAGCTATTTTTAGCAACAAAGAAGTGTTAGGAAGTGGGGGGAGGCATACCTCAGAAGGACAGATCTGAAATGAAGCCCAGAATACTGATGAGGTTGGCGTGGAGAAGAAAAGAATGTCTGGTGAAAGGTTGCTCAGGGGAAGAATGCAGACCTAAGGTTCTGGATGGTCGTAGGAAAGCCTCAATTAAGAGTTCTGTTAATACAGAACTTGGGAAATGTTATTCAAAAATTCTTTTAGACAATCTAATAAAGGAAATCAAGACATGGCAAACTGAGCTGATTGATTTGTTCAGGAATATGAAGTTTTTTTAGATTGAGGTAAACTGTCAACACATTATTTGAGCAGCTGTATGTGTACAAAACATTGTGCTAGGAAATGTGCATGAAGGGCCAGGGGGATGGTATTAAAAAATATAATGTGAGGTACATGTTGTCCAAAAATATACAAGATACTGTGTTGGAAATTCTGTTGGATGCTTTCATTATATTATCCTATTTAATCTTTAAAATAACTATTAGGAAGTAAAATTATCCTTATTTTACAGATGAACAGCCCAAGAGAGAGGTTTTACCCCCTTTCCTTTCCTTCCTTCCTTTTTTCCTCTTTCCTTCTCCCTTTTTTTCAACAAAGTTGGACTCACACATTAATAGAACATGGTACCTTTCTTCCAAGACTTCACTTTTTCTAAAGGTAGCAGAATTATAGCTGTAAGTGCTATAGTAGAGGTATGAACCAGGTGATATGGGGGCTCAGAAGCAGAAGCATTCAATTCTGCTTGGTGATATCAAAGAGGGCTTCCTGGAAGAGGTAATATTTGAGTTGAGTCTCAAAGGATGAAGAGCCTACCTAGCAGACAAGGAGATTAGGGCAAGAACAACAGTGTGGTAGACACTGCTGGCTGCCCACCCAATACATGTTACCTTCCTTCTTTCTGGCAGATCTGAGATTTTGCTCAAGCATTCCCTCCCCTACTGGAACCCAAGGGAGAGTGACTCTAACCCTACCTTTAGTAGTAATTTAGGAGTAAGTGCTGATTGGTTTAATCCAATTATGGTAGGCCCATTCCTCTTGTTTTATTAGCTCATGGGTGAGCATATGAACCAGTTCTGGCCAATGAGATACATGAAAAATTCTGCTGTGGGGGCTTCAGGAAATGTTTCTTGGCCTTAAGAGGGAGACATTGGAAGAGCTAGTCTTTCCTTTTTCTTGGTCTCTTAGGCACCTAGGCATTGCTGTGCACTTTGAAAGGATGTTTAGAACTACCATAGCCATCTTGCGACTACGAAATGGAGTCAAGCTGAGGGCAAATAAAATTTTCTAAGGATGGCAAAGCAAAGAGAGAAAAAGACCCTGGGTCTTTGATAACATTGTTGAGTTGTTGGACAACCCTCCCTATTTTTCAAATCTCTGTTACGTGATGTTATAATTGTTGTATCAGCCAGGATAAATTGGAGTCTTTTGTCATGGTATCCTCACTGATAACAGAGCATGTGCAGAAGCCCAGGGCTCAGGAAGGTCACAGGGCACTTAAAAATCACCAATAGTTCATGATGATTGAAGTGCAGGACATTGTGGAGTGGAGTGTGAGGTGATGGCTGGAGATAAAATGAAATGACAGCAAGGCTTAGATCATGAGAGCCTTATGTATTATGATTAGACATTTGGACTTTGTAAATAATGGGGAATTATTGAAAAGTTTAACTAAAGTACTGGTATAATTAGATTTGCAACTTAGAAGCATTCCTCTGAGTACTGTGTGAAGCATGGAAGAGGGATGATACCAAATGGTAGGATACCAAGGTCACTCATCTCAGGAGCAAATAGATTCACATGCAGGCTGGTCTCTTGCCATTATTATTCCATTATAGTTTGGAAAGACAGAGGTTAAGACAATATGTGCAAAGTGGAAAATTAGAGGGCCAGAGAGTAAGCACTTTAGAATTTCATGAAAGAAGAGTGGGTTGGGAATTGTGGAGAATTTCAAAGAGCAGATTGGACTTGAGCTGATCATTGAAGGGTTTTGGAAAACTTTGGGAGTTGAGTGGAGCAAAAAGCAACATAGGGGAATATCAAGTTGAACTGAAATGGAGGGTTTTATGTGGGGAAGATAAAGCTAGAATGGTCACTTGCAAACAAAATGGCAAAGGCAAGAAATTAAACTTTACCTTCTTTCTGCCACTTAGGAGTTATGAAACAGTAGGCTTGATAAACTTCTGTTCCCTATTTGGTTGAATTGGGATTACAAACACGTGTTTTGTTAATATCACCAAATGATATCATATGGATATCATGTACCCCCGATAATATGTGATGAGAAAGACACTTTCCCTTTGTTCTATCCTTTTCCTAAACCAGTCTAATCATGAGAAAAACATTATACAAACTCAAAATGAGGAACATTCTGCAAAATATTTGACCAGTATTCCTCAAAACTGTCATAATCATGAAAAACAATGAAAGACTGAGAGACTGTCACAGAAAGGAGAAGGCTAAGGAGACATGACAACTAAATGCAATGTGGTATCCTGGACTAGATTCTAAAACATAAAGACATTAATGAAAAAGCAAGCAAAATATGAATAAAATTTAGAGTTTAATTAACAGTAATATATCGATGTTGGTTTCTTAATTTTGATAAACTAATATAAGATGATAACATTAGGGGCAAAGGATCTGGGTAGGGGATTTGTTATCAATGTTATTTTTGCAACTTTTCCAGAAATCTAAAATTACACCAAAATAAAAAGTTTATTTACAAACAACATATACTTCACATAGTTATTATGAATATTGAATGAAAAAGCATCTATAAAGCAGCTAGTATAGTAGTGTCTGATGCATAATAGGGCCTTAAATGTTAGTTTCTTTAAACTTTCTCTGTAGACTAGTGCTTTTTAAATTTAGAGTATACAAAAATCACATGGAGGTGTTTTGTCAAAAATGCAAACAAATCCCAGGGCCTCAACTCAGAGATTCTGATTTAGTAGGTCTGGAAAGGGCCCAGGAAGCAGAATTTGCAGTAGGTGTCCTCTAGAGATTTGATGCAGGTGGTCCATACTTTAAGATTTGCTGCTATAGACTATAGGGATCCCAGAGTGAGAATCATAGGGTACCCTGAGGAAGAAAATAATGGAGATAATAATACCTGCCCTACTTATCTCGAATAGGTTGAAGGGAAAAATATAGGAACAAGCACTTTGTAAACTGTAAGTTGCAATTAATTTGGAATGAAAGAGAGGTCTGATTAGGTAGCCATTTAATAGTAACAGCAGTGTTATTGAAACCTAATTTTTATCCATTTCAGCCACCTAAAAATGTTCAGCTGCTTTTCTTGTTTAAGTGCTCAGATGACCCATAGGACAAAGGCATGTTTCAACCCCTTCAATTACAGATGAGCTAACTGGAGCTGAGAAAAGGGATGTTACTGGTTCAAGGTCACAGAGCCAGTTATTGAGAGGAGGGGATTAACCCACCTTTACAAACTTCAGTCAAGTATTCTTTCTGCTACCAGATGATCACTAGATACCACGTTCAGAGTCTCATACCTTTCATATGGGCTCTGGAAAAAGGGAAAGGATGTCTGACTTATTGAGGAAGATGCCAGAGTTTGTTTACCTACGTTCTGCTGACAGGTTTGCTCTTGGCCCACTCACTGTGTTCTAGAATAACTTAGTTTTCACTTCAGTTAGAGTAAAAGGTATTGTCTCAATAGGAAAATGGCCCTTTGTGGACAGTTTTCTGTTATGCTCAGCTTCTGCATCCACAGCCATGTCAACAATGTGTCATTAACCTGAAAAAGCTCACAAGGCCTTCAAAACATTGACTGACAAGTCAGACACCCTCTCTGCTGTGGCTCAGCCTCACTGTACTACTGTAAATTACATTGCTTGTAACTATGCTATTCTGAGGTCGTGTATAACCCAAGGCTACTTCTGGGAGGAATAGAAACCAATGCGTTTTCTCTACCTCTTTGGTGTTATATATATAAGTGATCAGATTAAATTAAGGGCAACCTTAATCATAACAGGGCAGTAGGGCAGATGCTGTTAGCTGACCCAACCTCTGTCTGTAACCCCCAAAGAGCTAGTTCTTAAACATAGCAGCATACCATTGGCAGAGCAGAAATTTAGCGGAAACCTGGGACCTTCGTGGTCTACCCAAGAAACTATACCATCCTGGATTGCCTACTGCCAGATAACTCCTTATCTTCATTAGCCTATAGGAGTAGAGTTTTATGCTCTTTGCAGCTGAATGAATTCCTGTTACAGGTATCTCATTGGTCAGAGAAAGGGAGAAGGGAAGGATGAACTTCATTCACTTGGCCTTGGGAGTCTGATGGAATAGGTGGGGGAGATTTTGGCATACGCCTCCAGTATTTGTTTTAAATATTTTTATATTTTATTAACTGTCAAACTTAGTACTTATGGAAATTGGACATTTCATACTTCATAACCTAATACAAGCAATGATTCTTAGAGCGTGGTCCCCAGACCAGCAGCATCAGTATCACCTGGGAAAACTTGTTAGAAATATAAACTCTTGGGCCCTACCCCAGACCTGTTGAAACAGGAATTCGGGGGCTGTGGTCCAATACTCTGTTTTATAAGCCCACCAGGTGATTCTCAGGCACACTAAGGCTTGAGAATGATAATTTTAAAACTTTCACTATGTAGGTATCTTCTTCATAGCCCTCTACTCCCCTAAAATAGTGGCCAGTAACCAGCTTCTCCCTTTGCCTTTTCACCAGTAACCCCAAATCTTGGGTAATCATGTCAGTTTGGGAGGGCTCTGTAAGCTATTGTTTAGTGATTGTGGATATCGCTAAGATGCAAAGTGTCTGCAGAAATAGACTGACAGGATGAGAGGATGCGGTCCCATCACTGCA